GCTAATGGCAGTTGCCTCTTTAATCTGGAACTGTTATTATATAGGGTAAATACTGTTCTTACCAAGTGCACTAGAAATTATTTACCAGGAGGCTAGTAAAGTCTGGGCTGTTTCTTGCTACCTGATCTGTATAGCTATATTTTAATTTTTAAAGTATTATTTGTAAGTTACAGGTTATCCCCTTTTCATATTTTAAAAATAATTCTTCGGGAAGGATCAAGTTGTTATTTAACAAGTAATATTCCCACTGCTGTGCAAAACACAAAATTCCTGCTCCAAAGAGCTCACAATCTGACTTTAGGATCACAGACTCAAATCCATAATAGGAAGAAATAGAAAAGACAGTGTGGTCAGCAGCCCAGAAGAGGGAATAGCTTGAAGGGGTTTCCTGTTGTGTTTGGGATAGGGATTTTTAATTTGTTTTTCTTAAATATGTGGCACAGTTTGCTTCTTGTGAGCTTTGAGGAAGGAATGAGAATTTGAATAGCAGAATCATAGGGTTTCATTCTGAAGTCATTCTGCCGCTCTACTCTGCACTAGTTAGGCCTCAGCTGGAGTACTGTGTCCAGTTCTGGGCGCCACATTTCAAGAAAGATGTGGAGAAATTGGAAAGGGTACAGAGAAGAGTGACAAGAATGATTAAAGGTTTAGAGAACATGACCTATGAAGCCAGGCTTCATGAACTGGGCTTGTTTAGTTTGGAAAAAAGAAGATTAAGGGGGGACATGATAGCGGTTTTCAAATATCTAAAAGGGTGTCACAAGGAGGAAGGAGAAAATTTGTTCCTCTTGGTTTCTGAGGACAGGACAAGGAGTAATGGGCTTAAAGTGCAGCAGGGGAGGTTTAGATTGGACATTAGGAAAAAATTCCTAACTGTCAGGGTGGTCAAATGTTGGAATAAATTGCCAAGGGAGGTGGTGGAATCTCCCTCTCTGGAGATATTTAAGAACAGGTTAGATAGACATCTGTCAGGGATGGTGTAGACGGAGTGTGGTCCTGCCTTGAGGGCGGGGGGCTGGACTCGATGACCTCTTGAGGTCCCTTCCAGTCCTATTATTCTATGATTCTATAGAATACTAGAACTGGAAAGGACCTCTTTAGGTCATCAGGGCCAATCCCCTGCACTCACGGCAGCATCAAGCACCATCTACACCCAAAGTTTTCAAACTCTGGGTTGCAGCTTATAAGGGCTAGCAGCCATGAGACGCTTTGTTTTCCTGCACCTCCACAAGTACAGGTGACCACAGCTCATGTTGGCTACGGATCACCATTCCTGGCCAATGGGAGCTGTGGGAAGCGGTTCCTGGTCCACACTACTTCCCATAGTTCCCTTAGGCTGAGAACAGCAATCCACGGACAACAGGAGCAGCGATCATGCATACCTATGGAGGTGCAGAAAAAAAAAGCATCTCAAAGCCTGCTATCCGGTTGCCCTGACAAGCAGCAACCCAGAGTTTGAAAACCCCTGATCTAGATCATTCCTGACAAATGTTTGTCTGACCTGATCTTAAAAAATCTCTAATACTGAAGATTCCACAACTTCCCTAGGCAATTTATTCCAGTGCATAGCCACCCGGACAGTTAATAAGCTTCTCTTAATGTCCAACCTAAACCTCCCATACTGCAATTTAAGCCCATTATTTTCTGTCCTATCATCAGAGATTAAAGAGAATACATTTTCTCCCAGAATCTGGTTCAAGAGGTAAATATAACTGGACCGCTAAATAGTGACCATAATATAATAAAATTTAACATCCCCGTGGTGGTAAAAACACCTCAGCAGCCCAACACTGTAGCATTTTATTTCAGAAAGGGGAACTACACAAAAATGAGCAAGTTAGTTAGAAAGAAATTAAAAGGTACAGTGATGAAAGTAAAATCTCTGCAAGCTGCATGGAAACTTTTCAAAGACACCATAATAGAAGCCCAAATTAAATGTATACCTCAAATTTTAAAAAAATAGTGAGAACACCAAAAAAGTGCCACCGTGACTTAGCTTAACCAGGTAAAAGAAGCAATGACAGATAAAAAGATATCTTTTAAAAAGTGGAAGTCAAATCCTAATGAGGAAAATAGAAAGGACCATAAACTTTGTCAAATTAAGTGTAAAAATATAAGAAAAGCCAAAAAGGAGTTTGAAGAACAGCTATCCAAAAACTCAAAGGCTGTGTCTAGACTGGCCAGTGTTTCCGGAAAATCAGCCGCTTTTCCGGAAAAATTTGCCAGCTGTCTACACTGGCCACTTGAATTTCCACAAAAGCACTGACTTCCTACTGTAAGAAATCAGTGCTTTTTGCAGAAATACTATGCTGCTCCTCTTCGGGCAAAAGTCTAAAAAAAGATATATTGGCATTAGAAAAGGTTCAGAAAAGGGCAACAAAAATGCTTAGGAGTTTGGAACAGGTCCCATATGAAGAGAGATTAAAAAGACTAGGACTTTCAGCATAAAAAAGAGGAGCCTAAGGGGGGATATGATAGAGGTCTATAAAATCATGACTGGTACATAAAAAGTGAATACGGAAAAGTTATTTACTTATTCCCACAATATAAGAACTAGGGGTCACAAAATGAAATTAATAGGCAGCAGGTTTAAAACAAACAAAAGGAAGTTTTTCTTCACTCAGCGCACAGTCAACCTATGGAACTCCCTGCCAGATGATGCGGTGGTTAGAGCTTTAACACGGTTCAAAAAAGAGCTAGATAGATTAATGGAGGTAAGATCCATCAATGGCTATTAGCAGGGCTCGACAAGTATGCTTATCTACTCGCCCATGGCAAGTAGATTTCAGCCAGTCGCCCCGTTCACCGGCGGTCTTGTGCATGTGCGGTGCGGTGCTGGTGAGTGGTTTTCTCCGCGATCATTGAGCCCTGGCTATTAGCCAGGATGGGTAGGAATGGTATCTCTAGCCTCTGTTTCTCTGGAGGTGGGTGACAGGGGAGGGATCACGTGATGCCTCTGCCAGAGGCATAAGGATCTTGCACAAAAGGGTTTTTTTGTGCAAAATGAAAGCAGTTACTCTGTTTCTTTTTGCGCAAAAAACCCTTGTGCAAAAAGCATCGGCAGAAAATATGCTAACACATCACGACTCATACTAATGAATCCGTCATTACAAAAATGTGTAGAGTAGACACAGCCTTATAGTATCCCAGTGATAGGTTCTCTTAAAAAAATCAGGTTTTATAAAATAAAACTCCATTTTTTTTAAAATAAATACACTTGCAAATAGCAAAGTGTTTATCCTTTTTAATAAATACATTGATATATAATTTTTTTAAACTAATTCCAGTTTCCAACTTTTAGTAAGTGGCACGTATCCATGTGGGCACTAATGACACTGCTAGATAGGACTCTGAAAAGATCAGCATTGACTACAGGGCTCACGAGGGTGAAGGAGTTTGGAGTGCAGGTGATTATTATGGACGTTAGCACCCATCATGCTGCAAGCAAGAAGGACACATTGAAGACTCCAACAGAGGGGACTGAACCAATTAATAAATTAGATAATATATTCCTGAGGTTCAGTGTTGGGAACTGGGGGGATTTGGCTGATGTCTTTCTCTGTGTGATTCATAAATGGCATTGGGAGCATTCATGCAATTTACCTAGAGTTGGGGGCTCCACATGCAGTTATGCTGAGTGATAATAGCACCTGGAGGGGTTGCTGCTGCTCACTAGAAAGGCATAGTCTCAAGCTGCACCTTAGGAGGGTCCCGTCAAAAATAGGTTTTAAAATCTCTCATTTGCAAGACTAAAATGATAAAGAAATTATCACTGACCAGCCCTGACCATCAGCTGGCCAAATCTTAGAAACAATTCATTCAGAATCATGTTTACACTGATTATAAATGTTTCCTTAACTTGGTTCCCAGACAGAGACCTGTCTATGCTACACATTCAGAGATGTTAAAATGAGTGTAATTTGCGTCCACAAGGGGAGCCAATTTACAAACCAGCTCCCCTAATAACCAGCTGCCTGACACATTATGCTGCTGCCTCTGATACAGAGGCAGCAGCACAGGTCATCAGATGCTCCCCAGGAGCCAATGCGTGCCAGGAGCCAGCTTTTAAGCTGGATCCCAGAGTACCAGATCCTGCCTTCCACCCTGCTCCCTATACCAGAGGCAGCACTGGGAAACAGCAGCCAGCTCCCTGGAAGTTGGACCAGGAGCCACATATAACTGTTCGGATAATTGCTAAGCTCATGGAGGATAGTCCGTCATATCAGAGTGCATTTCTACACTCGAGTAGAGTTCTATATGTTCCTGGATCATTCCTCTTCTCCATTGTAAACATGCTCCCTCTATTCAGTGCTGCATCAAAGACTACTAATTTAATCTTTGCCTTTTGCCTTTCCCCCCAACAAACCGTAATTTAACAATTAAATTTAGCATAGTCTCATTTTCTATTAATGCTCCAAAGTGTGCTAACATTCCAATATTTCATTACTGACAGTTTGATACTTTCACCTAAACTAAATTAAGTCATTATTCAAGTTGTGATGTAGTCAGATACAACTGAAGAACTAGGTGGAGGGTGGGAAGATGCTGAGGATTAAAAATCCTGTCTAACAAATCTGCAGCAATTATACTATGGAAGGCTTGAAAATACACTAACCGAACCTTATACAGAGTAATATTATGCCTTTTTAAAAAATTTGACCCTCCAGGATTTCTGTTCCTCAATCTTCACTAATTAAACAGTTAGTTTGAAAATTTCTTGCCACTGTAGTTTCAGGCAAAGTATTTTTTCTCATTCAGTCATTAATTATTAGTCACTCGTTTCTGACACTGCCTGCACTGTAATATACATTTTCCAAACATAAACATATATAGCCCTTGCCTCTAAGAGCTGACATTCTAAATGAAAATAGAGATGCAGGGCATGGGAAATAATAGCTATAAACAAGGCCAGGAAGTAATTGGCCACATCCAGATAATACGAAGTTTGAAGGACATACTACTTTAATATGATATATCAAGTAAAAATGATCCCAAATTACCCAAGAACTGGTCTTCAGAAGGGCTCTGAGGTTGCAGTCCAGACCAGCTCAGGAAAGTCATTCCAAGTTTGGGGATGATGATGAAGATGCAGAAAAAAAAACACTAGAAAAGCAAACAAATTGTATTTGGAGACTGGCATTATTGGAGAAATAGATAGAGTGATTGGGAGGTGTACAACAAGGACATAGTAGGAAGGAGACAAAGTAATGCAGTATCGTGAAGATAAGAGCAAGATACTTGAACTTTATGTCATGGAAGAGGGTGAGCCAGTGAAAGCAATCAAGCCAGAAAGGTGATTTTATTAACAGTGTTATAGTCTGGAAGAAAGCAAGTGGGTATAGTAAGAGGACAATGAGGATCTAAGTTTATTAATGTTCTCACTAATTTAAATTAATTTTAAACAAAAGCTAAACATTGGCACTCACTGAGAATAATCAAGTTATATAAAACAATTTCCTGAAAAAAGATTCCCTAGTATGGGAGGTGCCATGGATGCATTGCACGCAGTAGGCTGCAGGGCTGCTACTAGTATGTTAGACTTTGCTACTAGATATGGACAGGCTACAGAACATGCTTTCCAGAAAGTAACACAAGGTTTGATCACTAGAAAACCCTTTAACATACTGCCAAGAATAGTGGTTGTATACTCAGCTAATTGGGCATATTGTGTGATTATGATACTCAACAGTAGAATTAGGCCCTGAATATTTAATTAATGTTGTTAGAAGAAAAATGATCTGTTTTGATTTAGGGATGTAAGGGAGTAGTCAACTAGGCTTATCCGGTAGTTGACTACTCGCATTCTTCCCCTTGTTGCCTGTGTCACTCTGCTAAGTGGAGGCCTGTGATGGATAGGAGTATTGGCCAGCACATCTGGTGACTAAGGGGTTAAACTCAAGTAGATAGCAAGAGTGTTGGCAGAGGGCCAGAACCAACAGGCATACAGTGCTGAAATTTCAGTTGGATATGGATACCTGGTCTACTCTTCATTTGTCTCCCCTAAGTTAAGGGTTGGAGGGAGCAGATGCAATACTGCCTATAAGAAATATTGGACATGGAAGTGAACTGGGCCTTAGATCAGCACAGATAGTGAGTAGAGGGGGAAAAAGTATATTTAGTTGCAATCAGGATATTTTTCTTTGTTTTGGTTGTTTGGTTAAACTTCTCTGTGTGAACCTATGCCTTCCCTTCCCCATTAACTAAGGGTATGTCTACGCTACAGACTTTTGTCAGAAAAACGGCCATTTTTCCGACAAAACTTGAGGAATGTCCACACTGCAATTGCATTCTTCCCCAAGAAAAATCAAAAGAACAGAGGCTGTCTCTACACTCAAAAACTTGCTGCCTGTCTACACTGGTCATGTGTTCTTGCAAAAGTAAACTGACATTCTAATGTATGAAATCAGGGCTTCTTGTGCCAGAACTCTGACGCTCACGCTCAGGAATAAGCTCTTTTGCGCAACTGTTCTTGCACAAGAGGCCAGTGTAGATAGGCAACATGAATTTCTTGCACAAGAAAGCCCTATGGTTAAAATGGCCATCAGCGCTTTCTTGCACAAGAGAGCGTCTACACTGGCAAGGATGTTCTTGTGCAAAAGCACATACCAGTGTAGACGCTCTTGCGCAACAACTTTAACACAAGAACTCTTGCGCTAAAGAGTTTTTGTGAAAGATCATGCCAGTGTAGCCAGAGGGTTCTTTCCAGCATTGGTAATCCTCAGGGCCCGCCAAGCCGCGGCAAACCCCGCTTGCCAGCCGCGCTTCTCCGGCGATCCGCACATGTGCAGATCGCCTGAACCCGGCTCTTCCGGGTTGTAATCTACTCGCCACGGGCGGGTAGATTACATAGATTGTCAAGCCCTGGTAATCCTCATGCTACAAGGAAGAAGCCTTTTTGTGAAAGAGCTCTTTGGCAAAAAGACGCATGTGTATGGGGAAGAGGGAGTTCTTTTGAAAAAAGAGGAAAGAGGAAAAACACAGGTTACCTGGTGGCCACACCGTCCATAGTAATCACAGCTTTAATGTTAGTGTCCCTTCAGTGTGGACGCTCTCTTTCAAAAAAGCAGATCACTATTTCAATGCCCTTTTGCAATGTGGATGCTCTCTTTCCGAAGAAGTTTTTCTAGATCTCTTCTGAAAAAAGCTTCATCCAAAAGAAGCCTGTAGCCTAGACATCGCCTAAGAGATGTTCTCTATGTTTTGTTTTGCTCAGTTGCTCTGTAACACTTACCAACTAGTATACATTATCAAGTATAATTTTGTTTTGTTAATTAAAATCCTTTTTTTTTTTTTTTTTAAGGTAATGAGTCCTTCCTTGTGTTCTGGAATGAAACAGCTCTTTCTGTGTGTGTCTGTCTGCCTGAGAGTGAATGGTCAGCTACCAAAGACTGCAGCTGGTTCTCTCTTTTTTTAAGCTCTCTGGGGGCAAAACTTTTTACGCAAGAGCACATCTACACTTCAAAGCACATCACAAAAGCGATGTGCTTTTGCACAAGAGAGTCCACAGTGCATGGACACTCTTGCATAAGAAAGCTCGGATGGCCATTCTGTGAATGGCTATCATAGCACCTGTGCTTTTTCCCACAGGGATTTCTTGCTCCTCTGGAGCGTTCACACTTGCCTTTTTGCATCAGAACTCTTGCGCAAAAAGGAGTTATGCCTCATAAAATGAGGTTTACCTATGGCGGAAAAAGCCTTCCGTTCTGCCACTTTACTCTTGATTTCCTTGCACAAAAGTGCATTTGAGATGTGGCTCCTCCATGGGTTTTTGCACAAAAACCTTGTAATGTAGAGGTAGCCAGAGGAGCCCCTAGGGGAGCTGCTGGTGGTAGGCTTCTGCCTGGAGAACACAGCCCCACTGCTCAGAAGAGATGGGACAGCAGCTGCCTCCCCAGGGGAAGAGACACCTCTCCAGGCAGTCCACACTGGCAGACACGACAGCTGGGGCACGGGGGGGATTGGCTGAGGCTCCCTGAAAGCAACAGGGGCGTGTGGTTTCCAGCCCTGGGCAGGACGGGGTAGCAGCTCGGGCATCCCACTCAGGGCTGGGATGGGCCTAAGTGTCGCTAAACAACTTTCTCCCCCAGGCCTTGGCAGATGACAGGCAGCTTCGGCCGGTTCCCGCAGCAGCCCTGAGCCCTTCTCCATGCGGGGCTCGGCGGGGTCTCCGTGCCGGCCCGGCAGGGCTCCGGGGGGCCGGTTGCTGGGCCA